ATTCCTTCCGAGATTCATTTCCCTCTGAACCTATATATCAGTGTATCAGCTATAGATACATGACCTTCAAGACACCTGTGGGGTGCCTGGTGCTGATACTCGAGGTCAGGTTCTCACTATTTCAGATGATAAAACATTTGTCTTCAAGCTCCCAGCAGCAAGGCAACGATCCGTATCACACGCTCGACGTGCAGCTTGCATTGTGCCGAGACCTCCTAAGGCTAACACCTGCAGTGCAAAGAAACGTCTTGACCAGTACTTAGTACCAGTACTAAGCAGTCACCACAGATTTATCCATCTCCCCTTTCTGTGGAGCTCGCTCTTCATGCGTGACAGTTAAACTCTTCTTGTAACTCTTTGAAAGACTGGGATAAACTGCTCACAGGGAATCTGTGTTAGTTTCCAGAGCTATTGGGTTGTGTATATAATTTAAGAATACATTCATTATAGATATGAACATTGCTACTGTAAACAAGCGCCTCCCTTGCCTTACCCCTTTAGCTTCAAAGGATTTGTCTTTCATACCTGCCAAGACATGGAATTATTCAGAACAAATCTGGATTTACATAATATTTCTACAATATTTTTAAAGTGAGATAATCTCATCCTCCTTTCCCAGATGTGTTCAGATTAAGACAGTGAACTTTCTCCGTTCTCTGCAGCACGTGTGACTCACCCTTCAGTGTGGTATGTATTTGTGTTTACACTGCCATGGAGACGGTATTTGTTCTTTGTACAGTAAAGCGCATTACAGTGAAAGGGCCATTGATATTAGCATAGACAGTGATTTCATATTCACCACCAAAAATTGACTCCAAGCACCCTGTGCGTTCATTTTCCTTTAAAAAAAAAAAAAAAAAAAGCTGGATGGCAAGTTACCAATGAGTAGCAAGTCTTTTGGGGCAGCAGAATCTTCTTTGTTGCTGTAGTAATTGGCAAAGTCTGGGATTTTTTCCAGGAAGCCTGGCGCATGGAGTTGTTATAAGTAATGATGATGATGATGATGAAGATGAGGAGGAGGTGGAGGAGAAGAAGAAGGAGGTCCTACAGTGCCCTCATTTCAATGCCCTTCTGCTGAATGGATTGGTTCCTTGTCAGGCATGTCCTTCAGAAGGATCGAGAAGACCTCCACAAACTTCAGATGAAATCCAAAGTATTCAGGGGGGGTCACTGCAGGCACATGTACAGATGCAGCTACAGATAAAAAGAAAGCAGACATCAAGATATCAGTTCAGAGTAGCTACTTCAGGTATACCAGTGAGAAGCTCCAGTAGTTTGCTTCTGTCCTTTTCCTCCAGGTGAATAAATATCAGCTCATTTTAATCCTAGATATGGTTTTATACCAAGGCTTGCTAAATTATTTTCAGCTAGTATGAACAGGATCTAGGTCACCAAAATGCAGCCAGCCGAGATGTAATCCAACAGTTCTTTAACACAAGGCAGCACAGTGAATGCAGAAGGATTTCCCTACCCTGGTACTTATTCCTGACACTCCAGTGCAAGCAGAGGAATGTCAGGAACTAGAATTTTGCTGGAGCAGAGTTAAAAGTTTTATTTTTGAAATGGGGGCACAGTGAGGTAGGGGCATGTCAGGAACTTTAAAGGCCACAAGTGCAGAGACTGCATACAATAAATTAGGCTTCATGGAAGAAATGGTCAAATTTTATCTCTTTATGCACAAATACAAAACCAGAATTAAAGTTTTGACATTATATTCTTACCTGTTTTGGCTGGATGCTTATGCCCCAGTGGATTTAAACAAAGATGGATGCAATTGAGGTCACGCTGCAGCTTAAGTGGGAAGAAATTCTGAAAGGTTTGCCTTCAGTATGCAAGAAAGTAAAAATGAAAGAAAATTCAGCGATAACCACGGTTGATAGTTCAGCAAGGAACAGTCACGTGAAAGCCCTGGGAAACCAGATCAATGAACTGAAAGACAACAAATGAGATAAGCCTTCAGCTGTGAAGGGATGGATGTTTTCTCAAATGGGAAGGAATGAGGCAGTTAGTGTAAGTGGAATACGCCACTCTGAAGGCGTATTCTATTTTTTGCCCAAGGATCTCAGTTTTTTATTTTATCCTGAAATAAGACATGTAGCTTTCTGCTTGAGGGTGTTTCAGTCTCAGCTCTGTATTTTCTTGGAGACCTGATTTTCCGCTGCACTGCACCATCTGCTCATGGTTTACACCACGACAGAGTGGAAGGAGCGCAGGGCCTGGCATGACGTGTTCATGCTGCTTTGAACCAGTTGTCTACATGGAAGAGAAAAACGCTGCTTAGTAGGGAGATCCTACAGAGAAAATATTTCAGATTTTTCTCTTCTCTTGCAAATTCCCAGGAGTTTGGAGCACAGGAATATTCTGGTCTTTTCTTTATTCTATGCTCATGAACTCCTTTATCAGCCTCACAGGAAATGAGCAGCCCTGGAGGCTGAAAAATGGATCAAAAAGATGACCTTAAACAGGAGCCAAACAGAGGCTAAAAACTCTTCCCTGTTCATCTGCCAGCAGATCACAGAGTTCAGTGTCTTGCAAGTGTTACAGGAGCCTTCTGGAACACAGCATCTGCCAGTTGCCACATACATGTGCAGTTGGCCTCCTGATGCTAGACATGTTGGAAAATAGAATATTGTTTAACTTAGATTTGATGCTTCAAATAACCATGTGTATCTTTTCTATCTCTTTTCTATTGGAATAGTCAAAGTGCTGTGAGAAGCATCAGTTAAATCCAGGAACGACATGATTTGAAAAAAAAATACGGTATTGTAAAGAAAATGTTGGGGAGAGCATCCTGTGCCTAGGATAATTCCTGGTCTGATTTCATGCAGTTTTTCTGGATGCCAGAGCCATAGTGCTCATTAGCAGTGTACTTTGTCTACACATGGTAACCCCAGGAGAACAGAAGTCATTCCCTCGATGCCTGCTCTTAGTCTATTCCCTACCAAGTGTAAAAGAAGACCTACAAATACAGTTGTTTGAAGCTGGTTTGGATAAATTAAGCTCACGGTCAGTTTTCAGCTCAAACCAGCTGAACCTGGGTCCATGTATTACAAATGTGAAGAGAAAATGCCACCATGTTTTAGCTTTGCTGCCATGCCACAAGGAGGAAGTAGCGTCTACATATTACTTTACAGAACTGAGATAATACAATATATTACAAAAACATGGTATCAGTAGCAGAAAAGAAATAAAGGTCTGGAGCCACCCAAGCAGCACAGAAACCTGGACTCTCAGATTGTGGCTCTTCTTGAACACAGATCCTTGTCTGTGGCACAGAAAGAGGAAAGGGAAGTTGGGTCATTCCCTGTACTATTAATAATTGGCAGAGGCAGGCCTTTCAGCTTGTATTCTCCACATGGTGCCATCTTTTTGATTTTTTTACCACTGACTGGCTGTTCAAACCTGCCATATGACACTTGATATGCTTGGGTAGGCTGGGGACATACATACCCCGACCCTGGGCCGTGGGGAACAACCAGCTGGCCAACAAATCCAGCCAGATTTCAGGAAAAAAAATTATAGCTGGGCTAGTTGGCTTAGACTTTAAGGAAGACTCAAGACGGGCAGGTATCCCACTCACATCACAGCATTCCTCACTGGAAGTGATTAACTTTTGGTAAGGTCATTTCTTTAATACATTAATATGTTTACTGCCCCATGTTCTACAGATCCTCGAAGAGAGATGCAATTTTCCTGCTTCCTTAATAGATAGGAAATGGAAACCCTGAAATGAGTAAAAAGACAGGAAATTTTGACCAATAATAAGAGATGTGGGAAGGATCAATAAATGTTAACTCTAGAGTGTTTCCCAAACATACCTGAAAGGGCAGATTGCAAATTTCTTACTTAAAGTGGATTTTGACACAAAGGTCAGCTTTCAAAAACACCAAGGCTGTTTTCTACAAACAAGCAAGCAAAATCATATTACCAACTATAAAAAATGTTTTCCTTCAAAAAATAAAGATCTGGAAAGGCACAGATTTTAGCCAGTCTTTGTCAATACTCAAATTTGTGGGGGGAAAAAAAAACAAAAACAAAAACAAAAACAAACAAACAAAAAAAACACAAAAACAAACAAACAAACAAACAAAAACAAAACAAGTAATTACATTTTTCATCCCAAATTTGAAAACACAAAGTAGTATTTCTCATCCTATCAAGTTCTTTACCGTTGCAGAATGATTTGGACAAACCTTGCTAACCCATTACAGGGGACTCAGCATTTATCAACTAAACACATTTTGCATATAAGCTGCAAATAATATATATACATACACATATATATGTGAGAAACGCCGAGAAATTAAAACCCTTTCAAATTCAATGCAGCTATAAAATCTGATGATACAAAACTGCTTGTATTTTTTTTTTTCCTGGCTCATCTGCCCCTCCGTGTGATTCCCCGTGGTGACCAGCAGTGTCAGAGCCCGTTGTCCCAGGTTAAAAAGTCCTGCCCCGAGAGGAGCGCCGGCCCCAGCCCCGGGGGCCCGCCGGCCCCGCTGCCGCTGTGCGCGCCGGCTGCCGTCAGCCGGGACCCCGCGTGGAAAACTCGGCAAGAAAAACCCCGCTGTTCTGAAAACAAATCCCTGCGAAGAATTTTCGACACCTGTTTCTTGCCGCTCTGCAGACATGTGCTGTTCCTGACAAAGGCGGTGTTGGGAGCGGCACGGCCATGTGCCAAGGGCAGTGTTGGGGGTGCCGCCACCTCCCAGGGGACCCCCGGGGTGGCCCCGGGTGGGACGTGTCTCCCCGCAGCGCACCCCCCCCCCCCCCCACACACACACACCCCAGTTAGAACAAAATGGGGAGCCTCTCGCCGCGCGGGGGACGCCCCGCTTTTACTGGGGGGGGCTGCGCCTCCGCACAGCGACCGGCCGAGCCCAGCCCGCCCCGCCGAACTCCTCTGCGGGGAGAACCCGCGGCTCCCCGCGCAACCTCCGCGCCCACCGGCGGCCGCGGGGGCCGGCCCCGCCCGCCCGCCGCCTCTGCCCGCCCCGCCAGGCCCCGGAGCGGGCGGGGGGGCCCCACGGGACACCCCCCTCCCCGCCGCTCGGAGCGGGGGGAGCGGCTCCCCGGCCGCGGCTCCGCGGGGTGGGCTCTGCCCCGGGGCCCCCGCCCCTCCCCGCGCCGCGGGCGGAGCGCTCGCCCGGAGGGGCCGCGCCGAGCCGGGCCATGGACCAGCACCTGCGGCGGCTGAGGCAGGAGCTGGTAAGGGGGGGGGCTGGGGGGGGTCCCCGCACCTCGGGGGGGGGGGGGGTGGGTGGGTACGGGGGTGCCTGCGCGGCCCTTTGTGGGGGGAACAGCCCCGAGCAGGCGCGGAGCGGGCTCCGCCGCGGGACGGGCACGGCGGGTGCCGGGCACAGGCAGCCCCGGACCGCGGGGCTTGGGGACCCTCCGCCGGCAGCCCCCCACCCCCCGCCCCCCGCCCTCCCTGCACTGGCGGGACTGGGGCGGCCGGTCTCAGCCTCCCAGCGCCGACTGGTCGGATGCCGCCGGTGCGGTGCGATGGGCTGCGAGAGATGATGGGGGGGCTCGGGGGTGGGCAGGGGCTGTAGAGAGATCAGGCATCAGAGAAACATTTGCAGAAATCTCTGATAAGAGTAAGTTTACGGGAATCTAAACGATGTAAAGGGAGCGTGCGCTTGCCACCTCCAGTACCCGCTGAAAATACTTCTTCTTTAATAGGAAACCCTTTGTCATAAATCAACACTGTTTTCTCCCTCCTCCCGCTCCCACTCGGATGGTAACCTCACTCGCGGAGCTTGCTTGGGCTTGTCCACAAGCCAGAAGGTATTGTTGGTGCACTGGGGCTTGCTAGGGGTGGATCGGCAGGAAGAACCGATACTTTCTGAAATCGGGTTCCAGTGCTCAGGAGGTCTGGCTGGGGAGCAGCGCGTTGTTCGGATCAATAGATAGTGAGAACGAACAAAAGGGGAAGGCAAGGCAGAGCAAAAACGGGTGGGTGAAGTTTCTGAATGCGCAAAAGCTTCCCGCTTTCAGACTGAATGGGATGTGGATTTCAGCCGGTATTTGTGCGAACTGGGGCTCTGCGAAATGGGTTTCTGTGCAGTAGCGCTGCCCTGCCTGCAGCACAGGCAGCGTTTCGCGTGTAAGCAGCACGGCTTGTCAGGACGGACACGCAAAGTTCCAGCCGTGCCCCGGGCACTCGCCGCGGCGCCGGGGGTGGCTGCGCTGCTGCGGGTGGGACGTGTCTGGTGGAACAGGGGCTGGGGCAGCAGCGCTGCGCTCCGAAAAAATGCGGCAGCAAACAGCGACGTTTAACCTGCTGTCATTACCAGTGCTTCCCCAGCAAACGGAGGAGCTGGAAGACAAACAAAAACAAAGGAAAATGAGAGTCACTGGTGTTCTGCATGCTGGGTGTGATGAATGAAATGCAAACTGTAAACCAAGGCGTGTACAGTGTAACCTGGAAGATCTTTAAAATCTACAGAAGTTGGAAGGTGAGACAGGTAAAAAGATTAACTTTCAAAAGAGCACACTTAGAATAAGGCCCCTCAATCTGTGTTTTGTCTTCGGAAGAATTCAGTTTCGTTATCTGAGCGGTAACTTATATACAAGTCTAAACATTGCACCTTTACTTGTGAGTCTAAAACATGCCTATTTTGTCGTGTACAACATAACTTCTGAAGAATTTGAATATATTCGAAAGGAAGCCAGTTCCCTCACGCTTAACGTGAAACCCAAACATACTTTAAATGAGAACACTCTGGCTTTGTTCATACCCTTGCTATAATGCAGTAATAGATTTTTTTTTTTAAATTCTAAAATTGTGACAGTTTTTATTTCATTATAAACCAAGACTTTAGCCTGGCAAAGATTTAGGTGTGTGCTTGGCTTAAAAAACTGGGAAGGGGCAGTTGTCACCTTCAACAGGACTACTCATGACTTAACTGAAGGTAGCCTAGGTCTTCATGTGTTTGCTTTTTACTAGTCACATTCTTTCCCTGTCCCACCCCCCGATATTTGTTACTCAAAAACTTACTTGAACAACAAATTCCCAGGGTATCAGAGCACAGTCTGGGCGCTGCTGTGGGCACAGGCGTGCCGGGACAGCCCGGGGTGACGGCTGGGGAGACCCTCTGCCTTCCAGCACGCCGCCCGGAACAGTTCCCTCCATCAGCAGCTTAAGTGAGCTGCAGATTGCATTTAGTGAAGGTAGGAGGATTTTATTAATTAAAACAACCATAAACGATATCCTGAGCAATAACAGCTTTTAAAAATCAATGCTGTCGAGATAGCCTGGAATTAAAATGGATTAATGTTTCTTTAAAGACCAGCAAGCAGTGCGCTAGACAGCTGGGACCATCTGCACCGAGTGGTGAGTGGGAACTGAACCTCTTGACCCTGCTTCTTCACCACTTTCTTCATTTCTGGGCGTTAAATGCACCAGAACCAAGAATCAGGCGGGAGGGGTGGTGGGAAGGACTTGGCCAGATGAAGAGGGTGAGCCAGCCCGTGCGCAGCTGGGCGGGAGCCCGGTCCCAGGGCATCATTGCAAATTTAGCAGCGCAGCGGTTTGCGTTCTGTCCGAGGAGCAGCGCTGGGCGGCTGGGAGGCCTGCGGAGCGGGGGGCGTGCGGGGAAGTTCTGCAAAAACACCCGATTTGAGGAACCAGGCTCGCTGAGGCTGGTCAGTGTAACGTGAAAGTTAGAGGCCATTCGATCAGCAGAAGTTTATTTTGTTTCGGTGGAAGCCAGCCTTTGGCTGGTTTTGAGGAGGGGATTTTCTCAAAAAAGAGTGGCTCTTGGCACAACTCCCAGTTCCCAAGGAAAGGTTATCTTCAAGCACAGCTCTGTCCCCTACCAGTGTGGGATTCAAGGATTCCGGCTCTGATTTTTTTCTTCTGCTTTGTGTATTAAAAACATATTTAAATAGCCGCGTGCTTGGTTTGGGCTGCTGGTGTGCCCCAGCCTTTCAGCGCGCAGCCTGTGCATTGAGATCACACCGTGCCTTGCCAGACAGGTCCCAGATGAGCGTGGGTCCGGGTGTGCTTACACCGGTCTTCGTGTCACCTCTGGGGAAGCTCTGCCGGCTCTGCCATGGCTCCCAGGGATGAATCTGACCCGCTGCAGTCAATGAGAGATCTCTTATTCCAATCGCGTGTTTTCCATTGTAAGCTGATAGTTTCTGGCATGTGTGGTGTCCCTTTGATTGGAATCCATTCAGAAGCTCCCACACGCAAATGCTTCGCAGCCAGGGGAGCCCCGGCTGACACAGCCTTTCATCCCACCTGGCTGCGGGTCGGGGGCAGCTCTGCACCGGATCGATGGCCGAAGCCGGGGCCCTCGTCCCGTGCGGGCCCCTGCCCGCTCTCCGCGCCTCAGTCTCTGTACGTGGCCGACACAGAAGGCTCCGTTCACCTCCTCTGGGAAGCCGGTGGAGATTGATGGGCGCAGTGTGGTTTGCGAGAATATGCAGTGCTGGTTTGGAGGCCTGGCGTGGAACAAGTTGTGCTTCTCCACTCCTCCTGTCTTCTGTCCTTTATACGGCAGTTCTGGAATGTGCTACAGAGCTTGTGAATCTTCCATTAATGCAATTAATCCCCATACTAAAAGTCCTCTTGACTTTATCGGCTGGATTCAGAGTCTGCAGGCATCATTCTGAGGCCCAGAAATATGATGTCTGCTTTCCGAGTTACAGAATGTTATCTCAGCTGAAAGATCAGATTTAACAAGAATTGTCTTGCTCAGGGATTAGCAGAAAGGAATTTAATTTCCGTGTCTCATGCTGCAGATGGCATTACCTCCATAAACTTTCCGACACAGGGATTGTTGGCATTTATACATAGTAACATCAGCGTACGTACCATGGGATTGGGCTTTCACGGCTCTTCTACAATAAGAATAATCACTTATTATCTAGGTAGGGACTGGTGAGTTCATGGGGCAGATTTATCTCGCACTCAGGGTTTGTATGGCAGTCAAGCTAGCTGTAGTTGTAACTTTATGTCGCATGTTTTGGTCTTTCTTGAGGAATCCAGGATAGTTCTGGGCTTTCTATTACTTCTTTTCTAGGAGGAAAAGTATTAAAGTAGGTATTTAAAACAAAACCCACCACTAGGACTTGAACTTTTGAATGTTCTCCCTGCACATTAATCATAAATGCATCGCATTATTGAGTCTGATAGAATCTGACTCCCTTCTTACATTAATTTATGTTCTGGTAGACAGTGTTTCTTGCTATGAATATCTTGCAGGAATAGAACATTTGGTCTGAGTGAAAAATACAGCCAATTATTTTTACTCTTTGTCTCACACTGGGTCCTATTCCGGTAACTGTGTCATGCTCGAAAAGGAGTCTGCTGTATTTTCATTACTGCTATTTCTGAAGGAGCAGCTCTTGTGATTTGCGGTAGAGCAGGCATAAATGACAGCCCTCAAGGGCTAACGTCACCGCTCACAACTCCCACAGGTGGGAACACGCAGCTTCATTTGTGTCTCTGCAGATAAAATGGTCCCTTGACCCACCGCTGCCGGAGACAGCTGTAGAACCTTGGGTGGTTTTCACAGAATCTCGTTCCTTGGTGTTACCTCAAGGGAAGGTGCAGAGGAGTAACTTGACAGCAGATGTCCTGTCGCATAACCTGGGGAGAGAAAAAGCAGTCACAGGCTTTGTCCGCTTGTTTATTCCAGAGAAGACTCCTAGAGATGACGGTGGCTTTTTTTATAGACTCCCAGCTGCACATATTCAGGAATGTTAAAAACCAGACCCGCAGTGAGAGAGAGCACGGGGCTGAAAGCCGGCACTTCTGACCATCACCTTCAATGCCCAGTCTGTGCACTGAGGCTTGTGGTCTCTCTTATCCCTGGGTTGTGAGTAAAAGTCTGAAGGTTGGAGTTCTTTTTGGCCCGTTTATTTCCTGGTTGTAGAGAACTGATTTTCGAATTTGCCTTTAAATGTAACAAGTGTGATTAGGAAGCACAGAACAATAACATTGTAATGGAAAGGAAGGCAATTGAGTAAGCAAGACAGTTAATTGAGTGATGTGAACCATGTCTTTTGTGGTCAACATCTGTTTAAGATCTATTTATTGGAAAAAAAAATCTTTGGTAAAGTTTCAGCATCCTTCCTCTTCCAGATGAATAGTAAGCTTACAGTTAACATCCTCATTTACACCTAATATACTCTGGAAAGACGAGACGTAAAAAGACACTTGAAATCCTTGTGATAAAATGCAAGGACAAAAATAAGATTGCGGACCCTTGGCATCCATCAAGGGAAGGAAAAGAAAGGTGCAACAGCAGGCTGGAAAGCAGCTCTCTGACCGTGCAGCGCGCTCTGAGGGGTCATGCCCAGCTACAATTGCAGGCTTGTTGAGATTAATCTAGTTAGTGACCCAAAGGAAAACACAGAAACAATATGATCAGCTCAGCAGTTCTAAAATAATTTTGGTCTCTATTATGTCATCCTCTTTAAATACCAATTGTTTGTCGCTGGTTCTGTTGCCTATCAGCACTATTATTAAGAACTGCTATTTGCCAGTTGTTCTTTCCTGTCCTCTTAGCAATAACTTCCTCTCTCTCCTGCCTAAGAGCTGGACATCTGTCTTCCTCCTCGTTTTGACAAACACGCTCTGAGCTCTTCTCTTCAGCTCCCTGGGCTCAGCTGAGGGCTGTGGTGCGTTAGCTGGGCTCTGCCTTTTCTCCCAGCAGCTTCAGAAAGCTGCCGCGGCCCTGGGCAGGCCAGATGTGCAGATGGGCTGGGAATACAGGCAGCTGGGGCTGCAGGGCACCGCTGGGAACTGAATTCCGAGAACTCGGTGAATGTAGATGCTAATAGGAAAACATGAGTTCCCAAAGTGGGTTAAAAAGGTTACATATTTACCTGGGAAGTGGGAAGTGACAAGTGAAATCTCCCTTATTTGCAGCCTCAGGTACTTGGGTTTGAACTTGATAAAATGCCAGTAACTGGTAGAGGATGTTCCTTGGGGTGAGTTGTCCTTCTGCTGTGTTAATCAATGGTGGAAGATCGTTGATTTATAAACTGTGTAAACCAGTTGTGGTTGTAGTTCTGGGAATAAGAGGAAACCATTAAAAAGGCATGGCTTACAAAGTGACCGGTACCTTTGCTACTCAGAAAGGTAGATTTCCAATGTAAAAAAAGTCCATATTTGAACTCTGCCAGTTTTGCAAGATGCTCACTTCTTGTTGTTTCTGCCCCCCCCCCCCCACACACACACACACACACATTGAATATTCCTTGACGATCATTTGAAAGTGCTTGAAAAGCTTTTGAATTTTGCAGTTCAGTTGTCAATGTTCAGGGTGACTAGTTTAAGCGAGCTTTGCTTGGGAGAAGCGTTTAGCCAGAGCTGCCTTGTTCATGCCTTCACAGGGGGCTTGGTCAGGAGGTAATACCTTACTGCTGGGGAAGGAACATTTAACATCACGCACTGAATCCCTGGCACCAAAGTGGAACACGCTCGTCACAGCTGCGCCCAGCCTTGCGTGTACTTTTCTTGCTGTAAAAGGCATCTGTGTTGGCTTGTTCGGAATTAGACTAAAACTTCTTCATGCCAATTTTCAGGGACTGCAAAAGTTTCAGGAATAATAATGAGATACAGTTTGAGGCATCTGACTTTTAACTGTTTTACAGAGACAAATCTGAACGTCTGCAAGTTGTCATAGTTCTCCTGTGGCTTTCCTTGGAAGCAGAGGTGCCAACCAGCCACTTGTGTTGAAGCACAAAGTGTCTCAACTTAGACACGCAGCGGACACCTTGAAGTGCTGGTGTACTTGTGCACCTTGAGCAGAGACCAGCGGGTACAGGAAGGGAGGGTGCTGATGCCCAAGATCTGTGCCTGCCCCGAAGTTTTGTGGTGCCTGCCGTTCCCCCCGCGCTCTGCTCCGCAGCACGGCTCAGCGCGGGGCTGATTCGACAACGGGCTGGGATTTACAGCTCACAAACACGCACGAGACAGAACATCTCCTGATGCCCCGTGGTGGCCAGCTTACATAAAATCACTTACGTAACCCCAGCAAGAGGGTCAGGGTCTCGCTCCACGCCAAATTAAGGCTCTCTGGGGTTTTGTGTCGCAGCCACGCTCCGGTTGAAATTGCACTTTAGTTCATCACAAACTCCAGTTCCTTCTACATGAAGTGTGTGAGCACAGAGCCAGTGAGGTCCCTTCAGCCTTGGGTTCCCACCACCTTGCAGTCAGAGCATCTGTTTGACTTCCAGCCCAATCTGCTGGATTATTTGCAGCAACTTTTTTTTCCTCTAGCAGCCCAGACAGGTCAATCTTGAACCTTTTTCAGGGTGGTGGTGTCTCTTCTGTGGGAGATTGTTCCTTTTCTGGAGTCTCGGAGCAGGCAGTCTGAACTTGGGAGAACTGAGATCTTGGCAGAGAGGGGAGAGTGGCAGTGAGACACTGGGGAAGAAACTTTTTTTTCTCTCCAGAGTTTTCTTTCCAAGCTGCGTACTCTTAATTACCACAGGGTAATTATTAGTGGATGAAATCCAAGCCCCTGAAGACTGTTTGGTCACCAGTCAGTGACTTCACATTGGGTTGGGTTTCACTCACTCTTCAGTTCTTTAAAAGACCGAACAGATACCGTGAAGAGCAAAAGGTAAAGGGAGGGTTTGGGGGGGGGTGTTTTGCTTTGTTTTTGAACTTGCAGAACCCAGATTTTTAGCTGCGCTCACAAGCAGAATTAAAAGCCTCAGGATCTTAAAAACTCTTTTCCTGATGGTGGAATTCACGTTGCCAGAGGGACACTGAGGTTGAGTCCAGAGGGCAGGATTTGTCCCAGCCCAAAGCGGGTTGCTGAAACCAGACAGGCGAGTCACATCCCAAAAGTGCCCGTTTCTCCCCCTCTGCCGCGACGGGGACGGCTCAGCCCAGCCCTCGGCCCGGGCAGCCGGGGAGAAGCGTCCCAACCTCGTAGTCATTTACGGGAAAGTGTTTCCACAGACGAAAACATCTCCACTCCTCCTCCAGTAGCTCGGGCTCCCCAGGCTGGTGCTGGTGCCAGGTTTGGCAGAACCAGCTCATTTGTTCAGAAGGAAAAGCGCTGGAGTCTGAGCTTCTGGGGCTCAGGTCTTTTCTTGTCAGGGACAGACGGGATCTGCCGGTGAGAAACGACCACACTGACGATAAATGCTGCCTGTGAAATTTTAATCCTTAATAGAGCCTCGCTGGATGAGGCATGCATTGTAACAATACCACCCATCGTGGGGGAGTTAATTGAGTCAATGAGGTGAAACAGCGGAGCCGTCCAGCATATGCCGAGGGTTGGATCAGCCCAGTCATTACCGCAGGACCCTCGTCACTCACCACGGCGTGATTACAGCCCTGCGCCGGCCAGGGGATTTGGTGGGAAGTGGCCAATGAGGGGCCAAGCTGGCTCCAAATCCAGCTTTTTGCAAAGCCCCAGATAAAACAGACTTCCATTAATAAGGCGAGAAAGGTTAGGACGAGAAGCATTACAGCAAATCTGGAGAGGTAAGGTGATAGTTTTGTCTGAGGCTCGTAGAGCATATGGCCGCAGGTTTTGTGCGGGTAACCCAAGAGCTCGGTTAGTCTGTAAGTGGGGCATTATTTGCATGTCTGCAGAAGTAGAGGTTTATTTGCTGATGTTAAAAAATTAGATAGCTAGAGACACTTGATAGTGTAATCAGGAAGCTAAACACAGATTTGCCGTACCTTCATAGATTGTGTGCTCGTTCTGGGTGATAAATGAGTGTCTCAGGAGTGAAGCTCTGAAAAATCATCGTGATCTGCTGGCTGGTTTAAGGTTCTGGGTTTTGAAATGGAGATTTATGGTCAGAAGTTGTTGGGAAGCTTTCCACTGACAACTAGATTGTTACAGAGGATCCAGTTTTTTGATGACTGCTCTTTCTCACTGGTCAAATCCAGGTACAGAGATAGAAACAGAGCAAGCAATTGAACTAATTTAGTTAAAATAGAGAGGTAGAAAAAGTAAAGCCTGACAATGTAAAGCTGGACATAAGATGCGTCTGTCCTTTTTTACCCTAAGCTTGAGATCTACTGCTGTATGAAAATTGTGACAAGCCTTTTAAACTGTTTATGACAGCATAGGCTAAAGCTTTTCCAAGACAGTGTGTGGTAATCTCTTCTGCAAACCACCTTCCATCAATGTGACATGTCTTCACCTCCAGCTCTGCCATCCCCTGCTGTTCTGCCCCTCTCCTTCCCCTTGCCCACTCCCCCTCCCTGCTAAAAAAAAAAAAAAAAAAAAAAAAAAAAAAGTGGCAGCTGTTGGAAAGTATAGCCCATTTGTTTTACGATGCTGCTTTGGGAATATGATCCAGATCCTACACAAGAGAGAGAAAGCAACAGAGCAAAAGAGAAGAGGGGGAAGTTTAGAAACTCTGGAAAATAACTTACTTATTTCAAGTCTAGTATAGGAAATTAAATCTTTACAGCAAGGTTCAGGGATAAGCCAGAACTGCTACTAAAGGTTCTAGCTTGGGAATCAAAGAGATCGCTAGTTTAATGTAAGTAATTTTAGAGTTTGTTGGTTGTTTTGTACAAAATGGCAAGTGCATCAAAACGTCTTCGATTGTGCTCTAGGGAGAGGTGCCGGTAATGAGAGCATTAAGATCTGAAGACATGTTGTATAGTAACAGTGCAATTCTTAGTGGGGTTTATTTTTCTTTATGACTTTAGGTAAAGAAACAAGGTTCTCTGTGAAAGGCACTTCTGTTCATTATCCTGACTCCTGATTTCAGTTAGTTACAGGGCACAAAAGGCACAAAAGCAGAAGAATATGCTAAAACTGGCAGCAGCCAAAACCATTCATAGTTCTACGCCTTGGGTTTCTGCCAAGCAATTAATGGAAGAATCAAACTGTTTATTTTTGCTGTCAGGTCAAAAAATCCACTCCTCTCTGCTCCTCTTAATCCTAGAGGGAAACTCCTAGAAAAAAAATCTAAGAAAAACCCAGTTGCGGTGCCCTGAAACGCATGTCGTACAGGTAGGACGCATCTAAGATGCAGTCAGTAGGCAGGGGTGATGTTTCAGAAAGCCGCTCAGCCCCTCTCTCCGGCCCTTTGGTCAATATTCCCCGCTCTGCCCCGGCTGCCGGCCGCGCTGACGCGATGTCTGCTTCCTTCCCTCCGCAGCTCTCCATGAAGGAGGTCGGGGACGGGCTGCACGAGCAGATGAACTGTATGATGGGTGCGCTGCAGGAGCTGAAACTCCTCCAGGTCCAGACAGCTTTGGAGCAGCTGGACATCTCCGGGAGCCGAGGCGCCGTCCCTGGCCCCGAGCAGCACCGGTGCTACCGAAGCGGCGGAGACGGGCCGGGGGCCCGGCGGCTGCGGGGGGAAGCGTTGGTGCCGGAGCGCAGCGCCGCGTCCCTCGCCTGTGCCGGGCCACGGCCCCTGGGCCTGCCCCGTCCCGCTGCGCGCCCGGAGGGCGGCCGCCTTCGGGACCCCCCCTCCTCCCTCAGGGGCCGCCGCGGCGAGGATGTTTATCACCCAAAAGGACCTTCCTCCGCCTCGGGCAGAGCAGAGCACGCCCGCCCAAGGACGCCTGAGCCCAGCAGCCAGAGCAGAGCCGGGGGGTGGCCGGCGTGCCGGGAGTGCCCGGGCTGTGACGACGGCCACGACTGGACGTCCTCCCTAATGTCCCAGAGCAGGAACCGGCAGCCGCTGGTCTTGGGGGACAACATCTTTGCAGACTTGGTCGGGAACTGGTTGGATCTGCCAGAGCTGGATAAGAAAGGGGAGAAGAGCGAGGCGTCCCTGTCCGCGAGCAGGTCCCAGGAGCTCTGCAGGAAGTTCTCCCTCACAGCCAACATCTTCAAGAAGTTCCTGAGGAGCGTTCGGCCAGACCGAGACAGGCTTCTCAAGGAGAAACCTTGCTGGCTTCCCCCTGAAGACAAACAGCCCGAAATTTCTAAGAGACCCAAAAAGATGAACAAACTCAAGGGGACATTTTACTTCCCACTTCATGGGAACATCCAGAACCATCACAGCAAAGCAGAGAGGTTCCCAAAGGCCAAAAGCAATAGCGAGAAACCCAAAATTGGCACCAAGAAAGTCCACGATACCGTAGACTACACCCAGTCTGGGTTTGACATCAATACAGCTGTTTGGGTCTGAGTTTGTCTGTGCTCCCTGCTCTGCCGAGCATTTGTTTCCCACCCGAGAGGAGCTGGAGGCCGTACATGTCTTTTCAGGAGACCCCCGAGCGCTCAACGTGGCCGAGTTGGGAGGAGTCCTCTGCAAAACGTGCCCTGGGCGTCCGTGGCCTGCGAGCAGGATTTTCCGGAGAACTACGAGCAGCAGCTGACACAGCCCCCATGCGGGGAGGCTTCTGGGGACTGAGATTGTAAAAAATAATCGGAACCTTTAGCAGCTTTAGGGTGAGTGGTGCCACGGACGACCAGCTCCTGGAGCCTGGCTAACAACAGCCACTTCAGGCCCATTCTGTCATCTCTAGCTAAAATAGCTGCAGCACAAAATTCACTGTGTGCATGTGTGTGTATGAGTGTGCAGATATATATATATAGTTTGTTTGGTTTGTTCTTTTTTTTTTTTTTTTTTTTTTTAATCCTGCTTGTGTGCACTTAAAACTGGGTTACGAACCAGACAATTCAAGCGTTGTACCTGAAGCACTTGTTATTTAAATTGAAAGAATTAAGTTTGAATTTATAAGACTTGAACAACTGCTTCGTGGGGGGTGTGGAACCCCAGCTTTCTTGCGTTTCAGCTGTGGGGTTCTCCCCCCTAAACTGCATCTCCGTTGCACTCCCAGCATCTCTTTCCCCTGCCAGTTAAACCAGCAGGATTCAAGGCTCCTTCCATGGAAGTTTGTGACCCCCAAGCTCTCAGCAGGTTTTGTTTCTCTCCCAGTGTCCTTCTCCCCATCGCACCCGGTACAGTGTTGCAGAAGTTTGTTGTTGAGGTTGCACCAAGATACAAAGTCGCAACAGACGTTGATTGTTGTTGTTTCCTACTGCTATTGTGTACAAACCTTGTCTTGGCAGAACCAAGTTCTTCAGTGTCCGGCTCCCCACAAGTTACCAATAAAGTGGCATCGGTCTCCAGCGTGCCGTGGGGCCATCCCTCAGTCCTGCTTTGCTCCAGCGCAGAAGCTTCTGGGTTTTCACCATCACCAAAACCCAGCCGAGCACAAAAGGCTCCGCTGACGGGGGGCGGAGGGGTCGGAGCCGGGAGCGCGCGGTTTGTGCCAGCCTCTTCCCAGCCAGGGCCAGGCGGTTTGGGGAGCAACCAGGGGAGTTTCCATTCGAGGAGAGGTTATAAATCATAGCGGGGGAAGAGCTGCAGACAGGGTCCCGCTGCAGCCCGTGCGCATCCCCGAGAGCCTTCGGGTAACGCTCCACCGTCCGCCTTCCTCCCCCAGCACGGGGAAAAGCAGAGGGAGAAATGCTGGGGAGAAAAAACCTGCTGCTGAGGGAAGGGCCTGAGAGTCGGGCAGTCCCTGCCTGGGGGGCCAGGGCCACGGGGGTCCTGCCCGGGCACCTCTCCCCACCCGCTCCAGGAGTTAAACGTGATGGAGGCGAGTCCCCGGCAGCGCCGGGAGCGCGAGGGCAGCGCGGAGCCCACCGCCGGCCCTGCAGCCCCCCGCTTCCAGGAGCCTCACCAGCCTGGGCGCACAGCGGTCGTACGTTCCAAAAACCTGTTCTGCTCACTCCAAGTTTAAGAAGGGCTTATGTGCGAGCAGTAGTTTTGGTTTGGTTTTTTAAACCATGCAATTCTGTTCCTGTTGTAACTTCCCAAGACACAGAGGCCATTGGAGCAGAGGCACCGAGAGAGAATTTCCCCCCCCCGCCCCCCCCCCCCCCCTCAAATTAAATATAGGCACAAGACAAGCCCTGTTTCTGCCCATACAAGGAGAGGAGCAGGTCAGCATCTGAAAGCTACACTCAGCACTTTTTCAGGAACCCAAGTTACAAGCAAACTTGCATTTTCCCCCCCTCCTTCTTCATTTCTCTGAATGCCAAAAGGCCGTTTCTACAGCGTTTTGTTTTCCTCTTATCAGTAATTCATCCTGTTTGTCACAAATACACCCTCCCAGCTCCCACCAGCCTTTCCAGAGGGTCAGCGAAGAGGAGAAGGAGCTTTCTACAATCAAGAGCACCAGAGAGCAGCAGCTTCTCCTGCACCAGCCCCATTCCCCAGCGCACGTCCCGGCCGTACCTGCCTGGCAGCGAAGGCTGAGCCCCACGGAGAGGAGAGCACTGGGGGGGAGGCTCTGGGGAGCTGAGAGCCCACACCAGGAGCTTTTTAAGCTCATCACTGAGCATCACCCTCAGGTGTGGTGAGGGGGGTGGCCCCGGGCCCAGGCTGAGCACGGCGGGGCAGGGGCACGGCCATGGCCCTGGAGACGAAGGGTGCATCTCTGTTACCTCCCTGAGGCCACATGTTATCCAGGAAACGGGATGTGTTTGTGCAGGACTCGGGGAGATGTGGAGCCTAAAATGCACATTGGGAACCTAATCTGTGGGAAAAGCAGCTCGGGGGGATTTGCCACCCCCCATCCGGCCCCCACCACCCCACAGAGGCCGTGCCCCCCAGGCCTTCATAAACCCAAACTCCCTTTTGCCGGCACCCGCGGCCCCTCGCGAATGCCGTCGCAGAGCCGCTGCCCCCGTCGATGGGGTCTCTCGTTTCTCCCGAGCACAAACACTTCTGGCCCCCGCAGCAGCACCAGCCCACCCTGCCCACGCACGCTCGCGCCACGGAGCTGCTCGGAGATCAGCTGCTAAAAACCCAGCCTTTTCTGTCCCTGCTCGGAGGAAATACTATTGTTTCGAGTTTCACATGGAAAGGGCAGTTCTTGGCCCCAGCTGCGGCCCACGCGTTCCTTTCCCACCCAAAATAATTGCCCCTGCTGCAGCCAGCACTGCCGAGCCTGTGCCCACTCCCCCCCAACCCCCCGGGAGTGGGTTGGGAGCCGGCGCCGGGGTCAGAGCCCGTGCGGGGTCCCGGCACCCCCCGGCACCCCCCGGCACCCCCCGGCACCCCCCGCTCCTCCCTCCGCTTCTGCCAGCAGCTGCCGGCGAGGCGAGCGCTCAGCTTTGGGGGCCACGGAGGACGGACAGAAGTCCTGGTGGTTGCTTCATTTCTTCTTTCTCGGAAGGAACAGATCCCTCCCGGGCACTTCGCACAGACAGCTGACCAAATGCCCAACATAGTTTCAAGTGTATTTATGTTCCCTCTGCCTCCTAAGTGTATCTCCAAAGGATGTTTTGAATCGAAACAGGATTTTCCAGGGTGTTTGCAGTGACAAATTCGGTGTGACCTGGGCTTCAAACAGCCACTTGAAAATTGCAAGTAAATGTAGATAGATCTCAAAGTTCTTAGCAGGAATAAAATATTTAATAATAAAGAATATCAGCCAAGCCAGACATCCTACCTAATTTAGTCTCCAGAGCAAGATCTGCTAATAGATCAGGGTAGGATTTGTGAATTACCATTTCACTTCTCCAGGGACTTTTCCTGAAATGATAATGGCTTTTTCTCCTCTTTTTTTTTTTCATGAAAGTGGCATGAAATAGCTCCCCATTATTAAGTATGAAACCTACCTAATTAGCACAATGACAGTCTTTAATGAAGCCCTGGCTGTGTTCTGCATCTTTGATAGGAGTGGTTAATACCAAACATAGGACAATAATTACAGAAACATGTTCCCCCATGAGCTCGCCCCGTGGAAGGCAGCGATGGCAAATGAAGCTCAGGCGTTCGGATTTACTGGAAATCCCTGTGCCAGGGGTGTGCTCAGCCCCAGTGGGATCAGATGCCCTGGAGTTAATTCATCACTGAGAACACCCACTCGGAGCCCAGGGATTGATGAAGCGGGGCGAGGTGCTGGAACCCCCCCAGCACCCACAGGCAGCGGCAGGGTGGCAGAGGAAGGGGTCGGGTGCTGCTGGTGCTGCAGGATCCTCCTTCTGCGGGGGGTGGCTGGGCTCCTGCTCGGCCCAGGGCGTTTGTGCCGCTGGATCTGGCCCACACGGCCTCGTGTACAGAGGGGGTTTGGCTCTCAGCATCAATAAAGTGCCTCCCCGGGAGCTGCTCCTCGCCTGCCTCCTCGGGCTCTCCCTTCCCCGCCAGCGCCGACGCTAACACCCCGCTCTTCCAGCCAGATGGCCTCCAGAAGGCTCACAAATGTGCCTGTAATTAAAAAGCCTTTATTTTCAAAACCATTTCACAGCTTATTCTTCTGACAATGGGATGGGGCTTCTTAGGCTAATGCTGGGCAAGAGGAAAGGAAAATACAGGCTGGCTGCTGCCCGCCGTGTTTTCCTTTCCCGCTGACACAGGTTATATTTACTATTTACCCGCCAGAGCTGAGGGTCCCAGGCCCCCTGCACGTCTGTGCTGCTGCTGGAGCCTCCCAGGGCCAGCTCTCATCTTCCCTAAGGATGCTCAGCTCTGTCCCCGTTAACCACCTGGGCTGAGGCACCTGGCTAACCTGAAAGGCTTTCTGGCTGGAAACGGAGCAAATTTAACAACCCTCCCTCAATTCCTCTCCTACTGAGTCCAGCAGGAAAGAAACCAATTGCCACATCCTTGCTGAACTAAGATCCATTTTACTTGAAGCCCAGCACTGTTTTATTCACTCCAGCACTTTCCCAATCACCTTCATCGTATTATTAATCAGCCACAGAATCTCTTCTACTTCTTTAAGCAGCATTTCTAAACCATGGACTGCGCCTCTTCAGCATCCCTCTCAACGCAGAAAGAGGCTGTGGTTTATTTCTCTTTCCTTTTGTTCAAGTTCATTGGTATCCACGTGGCATCCCTAATCAAGAAATCGTACCCCCTTCCAGCTGGCAGGCAGTCTCGTGTGCTGGTTTTAAAGCATAAATAAAAAGCAGTTTTCTGCAACAATTTGTGGAGGCTGGGCACTGCTGGGGGGGCACCGTCCCCCCGGGGCTCGGCTCTGCCCCCGCCAGCCAGGGCTGTAGCCCGGGCCCAGCCCCCCTGTTGGGGCTGATTTCCTCACCCTCCTCACTTGCCTTTCTGCAGCCGGGGGGGTCGGTCCTGGCCGGGCACTCGCCCTCTCCAGTGACTTCTCATCTGTGCGTTTTTCAGGAGCGTTTCCTGCAATAACGGTATCGAGCAAAGCCCTGGGCTGGCTCAGATTTCCTGGCTTTTGCTGAACAGGAAAGCAAAAGGGGGAAAATCAATATCCCAGAAAGAAGAAACGCCTGATCCTGTGTCAGTCCTCACCTTGGGCAGGCTGGAGGTTAGCTCGGAAAGCGCTTTCCGACACGTTCTAAATGCACACTGAAATCCCACCAGAGCTGCAGGACACAAGCTCCAGGATCCGGAGAGGAGGCTGACGGGTCCCTGCTCACACTCACTCTGTCCTTTGCACCAAAGCCCACCCGGACCCCCCCTCCAGCACGAGGGGAAGGGGCTGGGTGAGGCCACAGCCGCGGCGGAGGGCGAGCAGCTTGGGGCTGGCCCTGCTCGCTGGCTGTCACCTCCTCCCATGGGGCTGGCGCAGGGTCCCCGGGCAGAGCCGGGTGCTCGTGGCACAGGGGTGGGTCACACCGGCTTTGCCACGCGGTTTCTGTGCTGGCTCCGGCACCCGGGGGGGTCCCACGGCTCCGGCAGCAAGGAGGGGGACCTGCTCCCTGCGTGACAGACCAAGCCGCAGCCCGGACTGGACCTTCCCAGAGGGCTTCGCCGCGTTCGCCACAGCGGGCTGGAGTGAGCGACGTGACATTTCGAACCTAGAGCTAACGAACGTGACGTTCTGCCAGGTTTAATTAGTCCCTTTGCTCTGCCAGCGACAGCCGCTGCGGGGGCAGAGCCTGGCTGAGGGCTGGCAGGAGCAGAGGGCGGCCCCGGAGGAGCCTGCGGCTGAGCTACCGCTCGCCGATGAAGCACTTGCTTTATCCTTAGGTGCGTGTGCTAACAGCAACCTCCCTCTGCCCAGTCAGGGTGACTGAAGGGTCACTCCAGGCCCTCGCACTGTATTTGCTGGCCTCTGAGGTCTGTAACGATCTCCTGGGGCTGACAAAGCTCCTGGGAGGACTGGCTGGGTGTCTGCAGAGCAGGACCGCTGCGG